GACCCTGCCTCCTGGGGGCCCCACGGCCCCTGGGCAGGGGCAGCTTCTCACAGCATTAAGGGGCATCGTGCATAGAAGCCACTGTGTTAATGGGCAGAAAGGAGACGTGCAGATCCCCGGGAAGGGGGAGAAGGGAGGTTTCTATGGAGACTGGGGATTGTTCCGGAGAGTCCCCAGTATCAACCGGGACACATGGGTGATGGGTCCAGGTCCTAGAGAGGCTGCCCAGGACCAGGAGCTGCAGGTGACATGTTTCTTGGTGACACTGACTTAGTGTGTGATTCATTCTGATAACAGAAGGGCACAGGGAGCAGTTTGTCAGAGACGGTCTCTTGTCTCCACACCAGGCTCACTGGCTACTAGCCCTGGGACAGAATTACAAGCTCTTCTCCCCTAACTCGGGCCCTGCAGTTGTCAGCGCTTTGCCATCAGGTTCCTCTGATTATTTGTAGGGCTGGATTAACCCATTCCTGGGCAGAAGGCAAAAACTCCTCCTGTGTGCCCCTCTGCCCCCTGGCTCCCCTGTGTGGGCACTGACAGCAGCTCCACATGCTGTGCCTGGATGTCAGCGGTGAAGCACCAGCTGGTCTGGTTCCAGGACTGATGCTCTGAGCACTCTGGATAGGCCTGAATGTCCCACTGCAGTTATGATGGAGGAAGGGAGGGGAGGCTCTGGGGCCAAAATTGAGTGAGAGGCATTTTGCCTCAGTGTCCCTCCCCCCCGACATAGGACAAGGGCCTGGGATAAACTTGAGTGGGCAGTGGGGCAGACCCATGCAAGGTAGGCCAGGGAACACTGAGTGTGAGGAGCGTGCTGAAGCTTGTGTGCCTAGCCTGAGGCAGCTGGGAGCATGCCCGGTACCAGATTTGTAGGCACTTGGAGGATTTAAATGATAGAAATTTAGGTGCACAGGATCTTTAGACACCATCAGAGTTAAGCAACAGCTAAGGCCTTGGCTACACTCGCGGATTCACAGCGCTGCCAGCACTGCGAGTACTCCACCTCTCCGAGGGGAATAGCTTGCAGCACTGCGAGCGAGCGTGCAGCGCTGCAGGCGCTGATTACACTGGCACTTTACAGCGCTGCACTCGCTGCGCTCAGGGGGGGTGTTTTTTCACACCCCTGAGCTCAGCAAGTGCAACGCTGTGAATTGCCAGTGTAGCCAAGGCCTAAGTGGGGGGGAGGGATTGAGGATCAGTGGCATCTAAATATCAGAATCAGGTACCAAAGCGAAAGTAGCAGCTAGGCATCTAAATTAGCCCCTGGTGTCTAACCTGCTTTGATAACCCCACTAGTCCCCTATCTGCATCCTCAAGTGCCTTTAAAATACCTTTAAAAATCCAACCCTATGTCATTTTGGAAAAGATGGTTTTGAAAAACTTACCCCAAATCTAATGTGCTTTAAAAATCAGTTTAATATAATCAGGGCCCACAAGCACTAAAATACTTTAGGCATAGAATATCAGGGTTGGAAGGGACCTCAGGGGGTCATCTAGTCCAACCCCCTGCTCAAAGCAGGATCAATCCCCAGACAGATTTTTTTTTAATCCCAGTTCCCTAAATGGCCCCTGCAAGGATTGAACTCACAACCCTGGGTTTAGCAGGCCAATACTCAAACCACTGAGCTATCCCTCCCTCCTTTAATCAGAACAGTATGGGGGTTTGAATGGTATCACTCCATGGAGGCTGGCACAACTGATTAAGAGAGTTTTAAACTAGGAATTGGGGGGGAGATGGTTGGGAGATGTCCAGGTAATCTCCACGCTGGATTTTAACACTGAGAGGGAAGAAAATGAAGCAAGAAAGGATACTGTCGTGAGTAGGAGAATGGACATATGGAGGAAGGGTACTGTAGATACAATTCTAATAGGTGATACTGGCAGTAGAATGTCTGGGCCTAATCGGGTAAAGAATTTGAGTGAAGCCAAACAGCAAGAATTAAGACGTTTGTACACCAATGCGAGGAGCCTAGGTAACAAAATGGAGGAACTAGAGTTACTGGTGCAGGAAGTGAAACTGGATATTATAGAGATAACAGAAACATGGTGGAATAGTAGTCATGACTGGAGTACAGGTATTGAAGGGTATGTGTTGTTTAGGAAAGACAGAAATAAAGGCAAAGGTAGTGGAGTAGCATTGTAGATCAATTATGAGGTAGACTGTAAAGAAATAAGAAGGGACGGAACGGATAAGACAGAGTCTGGGCAAAAATCACATTGGGGAAGAAAGCTACTAGAGCCTCCCCTGAGATAGTGCTTGGGGTGTGCTATAGACCGCCTGGATCTGATTTAGGTATGGATGGAGACCTTTTTAATGTTTTTAATGAAGTAAATACTAATGGGAATTATGTGATCATGGGAAACTTTAACTTCCCAGATATAGACCGGAGGACAAGTGTTAGTAATAATAATAATAGGGCTCAGATTTTCCTAGATGCGATAGTTGATGGATTCCTTCACCAAATAGTTGCTGAACCAACAAGAGGGGATGCCATTTTAGATTTGGTTTTGGTGAGTAGTGAGGACCTCATAGAAGAAATGTTTGTAGGGGACAACCTTGGTTCGAGCAATCATGAGCTAATTCAGTTTAAACTAAATGGAAGGATAAAGAAAAATAGATCTGTGACTAGGGTTTTTGATTTCAAAAGGGCTAACTTTAAAGAATTAAGGAAATTAGTTAGGGAAGTGGATTGGACTGAAGAACTTGGGGATCTAAAGGTGGAGAAAGCCTGGAATTACTTAAAGTCACAGTTGCAGAAAATATCAGAAGCCTGCATCCCAAGAAAGGGGAAAAAATTCATAGGCAGGAGTTGTAGACCAACCTGGATGAGCAAGCATCTCAGAGAGGTGATTAAGAAAAAGCAGAAAGCCTACAAGGAATGGAAGATGGGAGTGATCAGCAAGGAAAGCTACCTTATTGAGGTCAGAACATGTAGGGATAAAGTTAGAAAGGCCAAAAGCCATGTAGAGTTAGACCTTGCAAAGGGAATTAAAACCAATAGTAAAAGGTTCTATAGCCATATAAATAAGAAGAAAACAAAGAAAGAAGAAGTGGGACCGCTAAACACTGAGGATGGAGTGGAGGTTAAGGATAATCTAGGCATGGCCCAATATCTAAACAAATATTTTGCCTCAGTCTTTAATGAGGCTAATGAGGAGCTTAGGGATAATGGCAGGATGACAAATGGGAATGAGGATATGGAGGTAGATATTACCACATCCGAGGTAGAAGCCAAACTCGAACAGCTTAATAGGATGAACTCAGGGGGCCCAGATAATCTTCATCCAAGAATATTAAAGGAACTGGCACATGAAATTGCAAGCCCATTAGCAAGAATTTTTAATGAATCTGTAAACTCAGGGGTTGTACCGTATGACTGGAGAATTGCTAACATAGTTCCTATCTTTAAGAAAGGGGAAAAAAGTGATCCAGGCAACTATAGGCCTGTCAGTTTGACATCTGTAGTATGCAAGGTCTTGGAAAAAATTTTGAAGGAAAAAGTAGGTCAATGGTAATTGGGACAAAATACAACATGGTTTTACAAAAGGTAGATGGTGCCAAACCAACCTGATCTCCTTCTTTGAGAAGGTAACCGATGTTTTAGACAAAGGAAATGCAGTGAATCTAATTTACCTCGATTTCAGTGAGGCATCTGATACGGTTCCACATGGGGAATTATTAGCTAAATTGGAAAAGATGGGGATCAATGTGAAAATTGAAAGGTGGATAAGGAACTGGTTAAAGGGGAGACTACAACGGGTCGTACAGAAAGGTGAATTGTCAGGCTGCAGGGAGATTACTAGTGGAGTTCCTCAGGGATTGGTTTTGGGATCAATCTTATTTAATCTTTTTATTACTGACCTTGGCACAAAAACTGGGAATGTGCTAATAAAGTTTGCAGATGACACAAAGCTGGGAGGTATTGCCAATACAAAGAAGGACCGGGATATCATACAGGAAGAAATGGATGACCTTGTAAACTGGAGTAAAAGTAATAGGATGAAATTTAATAGTGAAAAGTGCAAGGTCATGCATTTAGGGATTAATAACAAGAACTATTGTTATAACTGGGGAGGCATCAGTTGGAAGTACAGAGGAGGAGAAGGACCTCGGAGTATTGGTTGATCACAGGATGACTATGAGTCGCCAAAGTGATATGGCTGTGAAAAAAGCTAATGTGGTCTTGGGATGCATCAGGCGAGGTATTTCCAGTAGAGATAAGGAGGTGCTGCTTCCGTTATACAAGGCATTGGTGAGACCTCATCTGGAATACTATGTGCAGTTCTGGTCTCCCATGTTTAAGAAGGATGAATTCAAACTGGAACAGGTTCAGAGAAGAGCTACTAGGATGATCCGAGGAATAGAAAACTTGTCTTATGAAAGCAGACTCAAAGAGCTTGGCTTGTTTAGCCTAAGCAAAAGAAGGCTGAGGGGAGATATGATTGCTGTCTATAAATATATCAGAGGAATAAATACCAGGGAGGGAGAGGAATTATTTAAGCTCAGTACCAATGTGGACACAAGAACAAATGGATATAAACTGGACATTAGGAAATTTAGACTTGAAATTAGATGAAGATTTCTAACCATCAGAGGAGTGAAGTTCTGGAACAGCCTTCCAAGGGGAGTAGTGGGGGCAAAAGACATATCTGGCTTCAAGACTAAGCTTGATAAGTTTATGGAGGGGATGGTATAATTCGTCTTTGACTATTAGCGGTAAATATGCCCAATGGCTTGTGATGGGATGTTAGATGGGGTGGGATCTGAGTTACTACAGAGAATTCTTTCCTGGGTGTCTGGCTGATGAGTTTTGCCCACATGCTCAGGGTTTAGCTGATCGCCATATTTGGTATCAGGAAGGAATTTTCCTCCAAGGCAGATTGGCATAAGCCCTGGAGGTTTTTCGCCTTCCTCTGCAGCGTGGGCATGGGTCACTTGCTGGAAGATTCTCTGCACCTTGAAGTCTTTAAACCATGATTTGAGGACTTCAGTGGCTCAGACACAGGTTTGACACGAGTGGGTGGGTGAGATTCTGTGGCTTGCATTGTGCAGGAGGTCAGACTAGATGATCATAATGGTCCCTTCTGACCTTGTCTATGATTCTATGGTTGGGTCTGACAGTCGGTGCTAAATGTCTGAACAGACTCATTGTTAATGATTATTGCTAAAGCCAGTAGCAGGTTTACTTTTCTCAGAAAATGTATCCTGCGCTCTAGGAGTAAGTACAGTAATTGTGGGGAAGAACAATCTGTATTTGTCAATAACAGAAGTTGAATACCTGCTTCAAGGTCAGAGCCTCGTTCTCTCAGCAATCTGGAGGTGCTGCCCCCTCTCCTCATCATTCCTCTTGGGGCATCACTTGTAGCCCTTTAGATTACATAGTCACCCCTGACATTTACAAAACCATTAAGTTGGTTGTTCTGCATATTGAAACTGTAAACTCTTTCTCTTAGGAGCTGTCTCTCATGATGTGTATATACAGCACCTAGCACAATATGACCGTAGTCTTCTGTGGAGCCTCTGGCTGCTGCTGTATTACAAATATTCATGGTATTAACTCAGACGTGATTATTTTGTAGCCAGACAAGAATGAATTTGGGGAAAGTTGTGGTATGTGGAACAGGCCGAGTATCAACAGAGAGAGACTCCCAAACCTACCACTCTAAACTTCCTGTCCTGCTAAACCACATTCACATGTTCAATTTTACTACTGCCAATAGCCCCATTGATTTAAATGGGTCTGAGCTAGAATTAGGTAGGTGGTAAGGTTGAGAGAGCAGAAGTCTTGGGTTGAAACACACACACATACACACATTGTATGGGTGACCTCGCTGTGCAGTTCTGTACCAGACCATGTTTGCATTGCTTTTATGGTTAACCTCCACTATGAATCTGCTGGGTATTTAATGTAAAACAAACTACACTTGGAGTGTGAGAAACTAAATTCTACTTCCAAAGGAGGAACAAAGACAGACTCCTCTCCCCACACCCATCCCAGCTCCGTACTTTACATGCCCAGCACACTGCTGTGCCCAAATCCCCTATGCACCAGCAACAAAGCAACATTTACAAATTGGTAGAAAAGTGCAGAGATGCTGGGACCCAGTCACAAAGCAAACACTCCGAGAGCAGGGAATTCAAGGAGCTGAGATTAGAGGGATGCAGTGTGGGGTGAGTTGGGCAGAGTGAGTCTCTGTTGTCCCCACACAGGACAGGGTGATAAATGGGTGGGTGGGGGGAAGGACCAGCTGGACTGTCAGACTGGTCGTCTTCCTCTGGCCTCAATGCGGGGAGTCAGCCTGGCTTCAAGGCTGGACCAGGTGTGCTGGCTTCCCCAGCTTCCTACATGTCTCTGCCCAGGCTCATCCTCTCAGTAATCGGGAGACGCTGCCCCCTCGCCTCATCATTCTTCTTGGGGTATCATTTGTAGCCCTTTAGATTTCATGGATGGCTTCACCCGGCACTCATAGGGCAATACTTGTCTCTCTGGCATTGGTGCAGCAAGTTCACAGTTCTCAGCCTCAGCTGTCTGTCTCTCAATAGACAAGACTGCAGTTTCCCAGCTCTCTCTCCCCACCCTCTCCCCATCTTAGCTGTATCTCATATCTCTGAAGGGGTCAGGGAGTAACTCCATGCCCTGATCAGTCTCGGCCTCTCGGAGTATGAATCTAGCACTCAAGCTAAGTATTTGTGCAGAGACATTGATAATTTTCATTGTTCAAACAACACAAATATCTCAAGACAAAGGATAAAGGTTAAAATAAAATAAAAAGGACTCTTCTGGAAAATGATAATTTGTCTCATAAAGTTCTCAATAAACTTGTGCTACATCCTGTCAAACTAAACTAATATCAAAGTATGTGACCAAACAGCCTTGAGGAAGAGAGGAAAACCAACAGTACAAGGTGGGCTACAAAACACTCAGGTTCATAAAGTGAAATCCCACACAATCATAACTCCCAAAAGAAGAAAAAGCAAATGTATCCATTTGCTTCTGAACTGGCTAAACCTGCTTTACTCAGCACCCCCTCGTTACTTGATTGTGTCATTTACAAAAGTTTTACCATTGTCCTAATGCCAAAAAAGGAAAAAGAAACAAACAAACCAAATCCAAAATCTGCCCATCTATAAATGTTCTGGACTTGGCTGGAAAAAGCCCAGAAGCCACTTTACCAAGAGATGGAAATAGTGATTTAAGCTCAAACAGAGTTTGGGGTTCATTTGAATTCCCCCCTCCAGGTCTGGGACACTTTCATCTCTAGCCCTCAGAGTCTGAGTCAGGAGCAAATAAATCAAAGTGTGATGCTTAAGCATGGAGAGCAAAGAACACTGTTGGAAGTGCCGTGCTGGGAGGTGGGGGGTAGAATGGGGAGAGGATAAACTCTCCATGGCTCAAACAGGGGCTGCTGTGTCAGGGTGGAGTGTGACAGTGAAGGGGGGAGAAAGGAATCCCTCCTACTCACCCTATCACCCTTAAATAATACGGAGCCCAAAATACATTTTCCTACCCCTGCTCCGGAACTTTTAGAATCTATTTAATTCTGGTCTCTAAGGGAGTCAATATATATAAAAAATGTTTTTTGGCATAACGTGGAGCAATGTGACACTATGTGAGAATGGGACACTCTCTCCCCAAAAGGGGAACTCAGTAACTCTAACAATCACTCTGCTAATGGGAGCGGGGGGAGCGGAAGGGTGAAGGGTGAAATCAGTATATACAAGAAAGTTGGGGTCAGTCTAGACTAGGAAAACTGGAGGAGGGTCAGGGGAGATTTGCTAGCTAATCCCAACCACTTTTCCCACCACAGACAGACCCTCGGAGGCTGATGCTATGGAGGCAGAGGTGGGATCCCGAGGCCTTTAGACCTCCCACAAAAGAGACTATGGAAATCAGTCCCTTTCAATGGTGCTTTCTGAATGCAGAGAAGGCGGGGAAAAGGGGCTGAGGACGTGACTGATAAGAGGAAGCACCTCTCTTTCCCATACCCTCCTCTCTTACCCCATGATCCCTAACATTTTATTTCCCCTGCACCCAGCACCCTCTGCTTCCCACATCCACCAGACCCAACCATTCAATCCCCCAGTTTCCTCCCCAAAACCCATCCCTCCTGGTCCCTTCATATTTGATCCCCCGGAACCCAGCACCTCAGGGGATTTAGAGAGGGGAAGTGTTGCCAGCCCCAGGGACACTCTCCCTGCAGGGACCAGCTCCAGGTAAGTGGGGGAGCCCAGCCCAGGAATATTGCTGGAAGATGGGGGGTAGGGACAGGTGTCCAGAGTGAATGTGGGCCTGACCCAAGTATCCCTCTCCTAGTCTCCATGGAAGAGGAATCATGCCTGGGAAGGGAAGGGAAGGGAAGGGAAGGGAAGGGAAGGGAAGGGTGGAACTTCATCCAGCCAGAGGGAGCTTCTGGAGGAGTTTCTCTCTCCCTTCCCCCAGCAGGTTAGCAGGAGGCAGGAAGGCCCTGCACTTCAGCAGCCAGGGCTGCAGCAGGGGCTGATCAGGACTTCTCCTCCTCTTCCTGGGCTTTGCTTAGGTCCCTGATCAGCTCAGGGTCAGCTGCTGCTGGAACCTGCCCCCAGACATGAGCAGCTGGATACCTGGGAGCCAAATGCCACTGTGTGTGGGAATTAGGAAATGGAGTTTTTACTATGGCTAGCCTCTTCTGTGTGGAGGAGTCTCCGGTGTCCACTGTGGTGTCAGCTCCAACTGAAGCATTTTCCAAGCTAAGGACATCTGACAGGCCTCTTCCTTGTGTAGATTTGCTGATGCTGGATGCCATGTGAGCACCAAATGAAGGTACCCATACATTCAAGCTCTTTCTTCTGTGAATTATCCAATGGGGAATAATGTGTGAGCTCAGACTGAATCTTTTCCTGAAGTTATTGAAGCTTTTCCCACAATCCAAGTTTTTATGGGTTCTCTGTCTTGTGTAGATTGTCGGATGTGAAGCGAGGTTTGATCTTCGAATTGAACATTTTCCACAGCTGAGGCATTTATAGATTCTGTCCCATGTGAATTCTCCAACGTTTAGAAAGGTATGACGTTGGATTGAAGCCTTTCCCATCATCCAAGCATTTTGGGGATTTCTCTGTTGTCTGAATTGTCTGATGTCTACTAAGGTGTGAATTCTGACTGAAACTTTTCTCACAGTGGAGGCATTTTCACAGTTTCTTCCCTTTATGGATTCTCCCATGCTTAATATGGCTTGTGTGCTGACTGAAGCTTTTCCCACAATCCAAACAGTTATAGGGTCTCTCTCCCGTGTGCAGTCTCTCATGGGCAATAAGATTTGAGCTCCAACTGAAGCTTTTACCACAGTCCAAGCATTTATAGGGTCTCTCTCCCGTGTGGGTTCTCTGATGTGTAATAAGGGCTGATGCTGCAATAAAACTATTCCCACACTCAAGGCATTTATATGGCCTCTCTCCCATGTGGATTCTTGCATGGCTAATAAGATGTGAGCTCTGACGGAAACTTTTCCCACAGTCCAAGCAATTATAGGGCTTCTCTCCTGTGTGGGTTCTCTGATGTACAATAAGGGCTGATGGTGCACTGAAACTTTTCCCACACTCAAGGCACTTATATGGTCTCTCTCCCGTATGCAGTCTCTGATGGGTAATAAGATTTGAGCTCCGACTGAAGCTTGCACCACACTCCGAGCATTTATAGGGTTTCTCTCCTGTGTGGGTTCTCTGATGTGTAATAAGGGCTGATGCTGCAATAAAACTTTTCCCACACTCAAGGCATTTATATGGCCTCTCTCTCATGTGGATTCTTGCATGGCTAATAAGATGTGAGCTCTGACGGAAACTTTTCCCACAGTCCAAGCAGTTAAAGGGTTTCTCTCCTGTGTGGGTTCTCTGATGTACAATAAGGGCTGAGCGTGCACGGAAACTTTTCCCACACTCAAGACATTTATAGGGTTTCTCTCCCGTGTGGGTTCTCTGATGAATAACAAGGGCTGATGATACAGTGAAACTCTTCCCACACTGAAGGCATTTATATGGTCTCTCTCCTGTGTGGATTCTGCTATGGCAAAAAAGGCCTGAGACATTACTGAAGCTGTTCCCACACTCAAGGCATGTATAGGGTCTCTCTCCTGTGTGCAGTTTCCCATGGTTAATAAGATTTGAGCTCCCACTGAAGCTTTTACCACAGTCCAAGCATTTATAGGGTTTCTTTCCTTTGTGATTTGTCAGCTGGGCTCTGGTTTCCTTGGGATCCTTACCTCCTCTCCTACTTTCAATGGATTCATCTACTTGCTTCCTTTGGCAATTTCCCAGCTTTCTTTCTGACCTGTGCCAATTACTCCAGGCTTTTCTCTGTTCCAAGCATTGGAAAAAATTCCCATCTGCTCTTCTCAATATGCTCCCTTGCAGTTCCACTTGCTCAGGACATTCCTGTTGTGGATTCCCCTCCTCATTCTCACTCATTGTCTCATCACCTGCTGGGGGAGAGAGAGAATCCAGGCAGGAGTTATTTCCTGGGCTGGTAGAAAATACAGAAAGGGCAATAGCAGAGAGGGAAAACATAATGCAATAGCTGTTGGAAGACTGAGAATTTGGATTCTGCCTCCACATCCCATCCAAACACTGACAGGGAAGTGAAGTCAGGGAGAAAACTCCTGACAGCTAACAGGGGTGGATGGGAAGCCATGAGCGATATCTGCCATGATGATATGACACCTGCTGACCACAGCCTAACCTGGGTGGGATGAGACAGAACTGAAGGGGCTCACACCAGATTTTTGGGATTTTCAGCTTTTTCCTTCTTTTGCAAGATAGTTTCTGTGTCAATGTCACTGACTCCTCACCTGTGTGGGTACCTCTTGAGATCTTTGTTTCCTTGGAGGCCTGGAGATCTGGGACCCATGGCTCTTCCCTTGCATCCAGCTGGTTGATCAGGTCAGGTTTGGGAATGGGGAATCCTGCTCAGGGGATGAAATCAGGCATGATCAGAGTGCTCTGAGGATTGGTGCAGTATTTGTCACAAAGGGCACATCTTGAGTTTAAACTCACCCCATGAATTGCGGGGGGTTGTGGGATCTGAATAGATGGGAACATGGTCACTGAGTCTCAGTGGGGGAAGCCAATGTCTGGGAGAGGGGGGAGCTGTCACACCCTCATTAGGAGTTTTCAGGATCTGTGTGCTCTGAGGGACTTGCCGAGGCACAAACAGCTCTGGTGTTAAACCCCTGGATACATCTAAACCACCAGAGGCCAGAGCCCTCCCCACACATGGAGCTATTTCCAAGAAGGGAGGTGAACAGAGATCCTGTATATGAGTGAGAATTAATGGAGACAGGATAATACACTGTTCCTGCCCCATGAAAGCTAGAGGGATGGGGATAAATTAGCATGTCCATTAGGTCCATGACTCCCCTATCCCACTGGGGGGATATGGAGATGAATGGCTCTCTCACACTGGAGTTGTGGACTATGAGATTCATAGACTATGTCCCCTCTAATGTAACTGACTAGGGAAGAACCTGACCAGGTGCAGAAATGCAGGCCCCAGGGCTTCAAATAGCTGAGGGGACAGGAATCCTTACCCAGTGAGGTCACAGTCTCATAATTCTCCTGCATGACGTCCCTGTACAGGGCTCTCTGACTGGGGTCCAGCAGAGCCCCCTGCCCCTCAGTGAAATACACAGCCACATCCTCGAAGGTCACCGGCATCTGAAAAAACAGGTGCTTCCCACTCAGTACCTGCTGCCCCAGCCACAATCCCACTATTCATGTGGGAAGAAGCACACAAATAGGACAGCTCTGGGAGGGCCAGAGGAGCAGAATCCCACCCCCACCCTGCTCAGAATGGCCAGGAGGCTCCAGGGAACAGAGAAAAGGTGAGAGCTCCTTGTCCCTCCCAGCAGAGGGAGGACGGCAGGGTTTTCTCATTTACCACACACCTACTGCCTACAGGCTGATGTGGGAAGCAGAGCTCCGTGCAGGGAACAGGGACAGGAATCCCAGTACCCTCCCTTTGTATTTCATCACAGTCTCTGCCTAGTGCGTTCAGGCTTCAGCACTCTGGTCTGTCTTCCCAGCCCTGTCCAGGGGGTTGTTTCCTGTTTCAGAAATGGTGGAATGTTCACTCTCCCCCCCCCTCCCCCACCATTGGCCTGTTCATAAATCAGGCCCTAGGCTGAGCATGTCCCAGCAGATTTAACACACCCTGTCCCCATCCCTGCCTGCCCCTATGTATTTCCTGCCCCTTCCTCTCCACAACAACCCTCCCTGGCAGCTCCCCCCAAAATCCCATACCTGAGCTGGCTCCACCATAGCCATTTCCCTTCCCCGTACCCTAGGAAAATTGGATGATCTGGAGTAACACGTTGTCCTTATTCTGCAGCCTGTCAGGGTGAGAAGGGGAATTTTCTGAATAGCGTTAGTCCATTTCACACCCTGATTCCCCCCAGACTCTTTCCCTGCAGACAGACACTCTAGACTCCGCCATGCAGGGCAAACCCTCAGTGACATTATTACAACACAGACCTGACCCCTTAGACGGGGACTAAACCCAGAAGATATTTTTAAACAGTCCCAGTAACAGAGTCTCTGAGCCAAGCACTAGAAAAGAGCAGAATCAAAGGAGCTACTTTGGTGATCCCCCAGACACTGTCCCCAGGAAAGCACATTCCCCCAGCAGCGCAGGGACTAGGTAGAGGCAGGAACTGGCTTTTCCTCTCTCTGCTCCTCACCTTCTTCTAATTAAAGTCAATCTGCCCAGGGGTGCTGCAGGAAATGGAGCTGGGCAGGGCTGGGAGCTGGGAACCTCCCTCCCCACTTATTGCTCTTGCTGCCCCTTCCAGTCTCTCCCCTTTCCCTTCTGCATGGAAGAACTGGTTACTGTCCTGCCATTCCTGCGAGCTTTCCTCTCTAGTAGCTACTGCCAGGGCTAACAGGTGTGTGACAGGATGTATCAAGGGCAGCAGCTCTGGGACTTGCAGACAGCTGGGAGAAGAGATGGGATGAGGAGGGTCCATTTGTTCAGAATCACTTTCCTGTCCTTCCCCAGCACTTTACTGCAGGTCTCTCTCATCAACTGGAGTCTCTGGCAGAGCCCAGGGCTGCCCTAGGGGCTGGTTTCAGCCACACGAGAAAGTCCTCCCTTGGCTGGGCACACAGGGGCTTTAATGTTGGTCTATCCCAGCACAGACCCTGCGGGGCAGCTGCACAGCCCAGGCTCCCAGATCACAGTGGAGGCAGCAGCATTTGCCTCAGGAAGCCCAGCTAGCTCTCGGGCTCTACTATCCTGAACACAGAGATTGACACCGGCCTCCTCTGCCTTAGCAATTACCAGAGCCCTCTGGTGGGGGCCACTAATGACCGAGCCTCCATGTGCTGCCCCTGCAACCCCCAGGGACAATCAGGCCAGCGCTGATTTCATTTGCCCATCTGGACACTCACTGGAACCAGAGAATCAGTCCAAACTGGAATTTCATATTGGAACCAAAACTGAACCATAGTTTTTATTTACTGACTGAATTGAACTGGAAAAAAAAAGTGGGTGGGGCAGAGGGGACCAGTTAAAATAAAGATTCAGCATAATTTTAAGATCAATATAAAAAAAAATTAGTAATCTCATTTTAATTTTAAGAGAATAAAGTAACTAGCCAATGGTCTGGTGATGGCTCCCAGAATGGCCTGCCCCAGGATAGTGAGAAGAGAATGAGAATAGAAGAGGGCCAGCCCACAAGCACAGGGAGGGCAGCTTCCTGCACACCAGAGGAACCATCTCTGAGATGCCCCCCTGGGGAGAGAAGAGGGGGGATGCTCCCTGGGCCCTGAAGTTCATAATATCTCTTCAAGCCCAAGGGCAAAGGTAAGGGCTCCCCAACCTTCTCCCCTTAGACAGGCCTCCTCCCACCATCCCCAGCCCCTGGGGCAGCTCCTCCCTCCCACTTGAGGCAGGGTTCATGCTCCAAACTCCCTTCCCCACTGAAGCCACCTGCAGGGCCAGCTCCCAACCCCTTCCCTCCTTCTTCCCTTCCCCCC